TCGGGTGAAGATGAAGATGAGAAATGTGAAGAATCAGCTCACAGCAACGCAGGAGGAGCTTGTTTATGGTCTGAAGTTGGAACCACAGTAACCACGAACACCACTGGTATGCATCTTACTGTAATGGATTAAAATTTTCCAGCACCTGCAAGATCTTATCTAGTCCACTTCTATTCTTTTTCATTCAGCCGTTCCCTCTTCAGAGGTCTCCACAGCGAGTCATCCTCCTCCATCTCACTCTGTCCTCTGCATCCTCTGTCCTCACTCCAACTACCTCCATGTCCTCTCTGACTCCATCCATACATCTCCTCTTTGTCTTTTTCCTGGCAGCTGCATTTCTAACATCCTTCTACCAATATACCCACTGTCCCTCCTCTGGACATGTCCAAACCATCTCAGTCTGGTCTCTCTAACTTTATCTCCCAGTTGTTCAACCTGTGCTGTACCTCTGATGATCTCATTCCTGATCTTATCCATCCTTGTCACTCCTAAGGAGAACCTCAACATCTTCATTTCTGCCACTTCCAGTTCTTTCTCCTGTCTTATTGTCCATGTCTCTGTCTTCAGACCATACAACATAGCTGGTCTCACCACTGTCTTGTAAACTAAAATCTATCTAGTCCACTTCTATATTCGCTGGTCAAATGAAAACAGGCCTGCTCATGTGACTCGTTGAGCAGTCATGACCTTCTCACCGCGATGCTTGCTGAGGGTCTTGTAGCTAACCCCAGCCTTGTTCAGATCTGCTGTCTTGTCCCTGACAGCTGTTGACAACCACTGTGGTGGAGAGGTTGGAATAAAAAAAAAACAGGCGGGTGGGTTTTATACACATAAGCTGAGATCAGAAGAGTCTAAAACTGATTAATTGATTGATAATCACCCATGTGCCATATAGGCTCATAACCAATCTGTCGGAGCAATAACCGATTAGGTTGTAGTGGCACAAATGCTCGTAGTTATTCATCTCAATATTTGTGCATCAATTTGTAACCTTTCTAAAAAGATTTTTCTGGACTTCATATTTTGTCTCAGTTAAAATGTAACTGTATTTTAAAAGCTTTTAATTGTTTTAGTCTTGTGTCCACATGAAAACGTTGTTTTAGGAACCACAAAACTGAAGATTTAACAATTGGGTTCCAAAGCGGGCAGCACTGTGGTGCAGTTGGTAGAGCTGTCACCTCTCAGCGAGAAGGTCGTTGGATTGAATCCCGGCCGGGAGCCTTTCTGGGTGGAGTTTGCATGTTCTCTCTGTTCATGTGTGGGTTTTCTCCGGGTACCCCAGTTTCCTCCCACAGACTAAAAACATGCATGTTAGTCTGATTGGTAACTCTAAATTGTCCCTAGGTGTGAGTGAG